GAATGCTGAAAGTACCATGGACTGCTAAAAGAACTAACAGATCTGTCTTGGAGGAAGTGCACCCTAAATGCTCCTTGGAAGTGAGAATGGCCAGACTTGGTCTCACCTATTTTGGTCATATTGTCAGAAGCGACTATACCTTGGAGAAGGATGTCATGCTTGGTAGGGTGGACGGTCGACGAAAGAGGGGGAGGCCTTCAACGAGATGGGTTGACACTGTGGCTGTGATGATGGGCTCAAGTATAGCAGGGATTGTGGAGCTGGAGTGGGATCGGGCAGTGTTTCGTTCTGCTGTGCATGGGGTCGCTATGAGTCGCAAACAACTCGACGGCACCTAACAACAACAACAACATAGGTATTTCTGGGAGCTCTGGTGGCGTAGTGCTAAGACATCTGACTCCTACCCAGAGGGCTGGTGGTTGAAACCCACCAGCCACTTCCTGGAAGGAAGTTTGGACAGCTTACTTCTGTAGTGATATCGACTTGTAAACCTAAGGAGGGGTCGCTATGAGTCAGACCTGACTCAGTGGCAGGGGGTTTTATAGTACACTGAAATCTTGAAGGAAAACATTAATTTTGTCTACCTTGTTCAGGTATAGGACCTTTGTTAGCATAGTATCTAAGGCATTTGACTGCTAACCAGAAGGCTGACAGTTCAAACCACCAGCCACTCCTCAGAAGGAAGGTTGGGCAATCTATTTCCGTAGTGATACGATCTCGGAAACCCAAGGAGGGGTCACTCTGAGTCAGATTCGACTTGATGGCAGTGGGTTTTTTTTATTGTTGTTCAGGTATATATTTTCATTGATACTTAATAAAAAAGATAGTTGGAAGTGGTTGAAATTTCAGGAATGTATTAACTACATTCTGTATACATACAGTATGTTTTTGATAACACAGAACAGTCCTGTCCCATTTGATTACTGAATATAATATTATCTAAGAACTACTCTCCTGAGCCTCCCTCTTTTCTCATCTTTCTGATTTTCCATTGTCCTGTGGTATGTTTCTGTACTTCGTGTTGCAAGACAGTTTATACAAATTAATGTTTGTCCAGACTAGTACTATCTTCATGATGGGTGAAGAATTGCAAAGAGCATTTATATGGGAATTTAACTGCCTGGAGTCAGTGCTGATTCTGCTACTTAGTCTCTGTGAATAATGCACAAGTAAGTCTGCTTCACCTATTTGTGTTTCCTTAACTTGTGCAAATGGAAATAACATTTAGTATCTTCCTCAAAGGACTGAGGTATAGGACAATGGCAAAATTACCATCTGTCTCACCTCCAGGTGTTAGGTCTTGTTTACAGTTTTTTTTTTTTTTTTTTTTTAAATTATGATGCAATAGAAATCCTAGGAGATAATGAGACAAACAGAGATAACAGCCAAAAAGTTTTTGGTGTTTCTTTTAAAGTTCCCATTAAACACAAAATTACTCACTTTGCTTTCAGTCCTCTTCTGTAGATGTGATCCTTCTTTCTTAGACAAGAAAAGACCCTTGAGCTGTCCTGGCTTGCTCAGTGCTAACAGTAGCCCTCTTAGTGGGACCAGTGGCCCCCTGAGTGTTGGCCCACAGCCCATGGTCAAGCTCTCCAGCAGTGAACTTGGAAGCTTTAAACTTCGGGTGAAGCTTGAACTATAGGCCCTCAGTGACCTCAAACTGTAATTCTTAACTCATTTGAGGCATAATCAGTGGTGACATCCAATCACAACTTGTTTTCCTGATGCAGAAAACTGCAGGGCAGGTTTTTTGTTACCTCTTGATTTAATTCTCTAATCAAAATATTAAAAGCAAGCAAGCAAAATCTCATAAATTTCTAGGGAAGAAGACTTTAAGAAAGAGATTCTCCAGGTATTACATATTACATTTTTTCTTTTCTTTAGTTTATCTTTTGGGAAAGATACATGAATATCTTGCTTCCCTTGCTCAGTAGTTCCCGTTGCTGTGTGTTCTGCAAGCAAAAAAATAATTGCATGATAATATTAGAGAATTGACTTAAGACTTTGTTTTCATTGTTAAATGAGATAACATGTGTCTAGCATTTGGCATGGTTCCTAGTCCTTATTAGACTAAACCAAAATACCTCTCCCTGCACTGCCTCTTCCCACCATTTCAGGGCTGCTGCTTATATACCAATAGTAGCAGGTCCTCAAGCTTTTCATTTGCTTGCTCTCTTCCTCCAAGTTCAATCTCTAAGGAATATAAGTTATTCAACTACGATTTTTATTACCATGGTACTTCTTTTTCTACTTGCTGTTTCACTAATTATTGACTATGTTACAACTATCAGACTACCTTGGTTTCCCCCACTGTAAACATTCTGTGCACAATACCTGCTCAGAACCATCTTTTCAGGGCTGCTGTAGAGGGAAAGCTTTCACAAGCTCATTTGCTTTTAGACAAGGAAATGTGACTACAGAATACTCTTCCCCTGTTGTAATACCCTGTTAATTCCCTAATTCTTTGTTCATTCTTTCAAATGCCATCTGGTTAAAGGCTTCCCTGTTGAATGGTTGCATGTTTATATTTATGTGAGTTTATGTTAATTATGTAGATTACGGATCTACTTACTACAAAAGACAAAAAGATACTTGACTTGGTAAAGGATCCCCCAAACAATCTCATTCCTAGGGCTCCTCTCACTCCCAGGTCAATGCCGGTTTGCAATGAAACTTTCTTTAGGCGTCAGATTTCTCCCTTAAAGTGATTAAATTCTGCATTTCCTAACCACAAAGATGGTTGATATAATTTGATTTATCAGAGCACTTTGAGTTTGGGCAATGCTATGCTTGAAACGAAAGAGTGGGATTGCTCTTGGCTTCCTATTTGAAATTTTGGTGGTTAGGTGTGCTTGGGTAGCCCAGTTCTTGAAAGTTTGGCCCCTCTCAGTATGAGTTAGGGCCACACTCAGCTGTCTCAGAGTCTTTTTCCACTACTTCCGTGCTTGCTGAGACCTACTGACACTTCTCACTATTCAAAGTCAAGCTGATTTCACTGGGACTCTGCTGCAATCACAAGGAAATGGTCTGGCAAGGAAGTACCTATTTTTTATCTAGGAGAGCACTGGCGAATCTGGGGATTAGGGCTTGGGCATCTTTGGGAGGCTATTTTACAAATTCTGCTTACTGCAGACTATCGTTGATTTAGCAGGATTTATAGTTGTAATATTGGTGATTCAGTAGGGAAACTGGCCAATGCCACTGATGCACAGTTACCACCCCACCCATCTCTCAGTGGAGGTTTGTGTGTTGCTATGATGCTGAACAACTTTCAGTGGAGCTTCCAGAATAAGATGGACTAGGAAGAAAACCTGGTGATATACATCCAAAAGTCAGCCAGTGAAAACCCTATGGATCACAACAGTCCGATCTGCAGCAGATCATGGGGATGGCACAGGACTGGACAGCGTTTCAGTTCATTGTGCATGGATTCGGAGCCAACTCAGTACAGCTAACAAAAACAAAGTGTTTTATCCGTATGTTACTAGTCTGTGTGCAGACCAATTATATAGTGAAAAAAAGAACTGATTCTAGTTCTTTCCTTGCAAGTGGAAAGAGTCATTAATCAGACAACTTATATACTTGTAAAAAGTAAATTATCACTTCAATAAAATAGGCATACATTTGTGGAATTCCACATGTCAAAATAAGCAAAGGAGACTCTCCTAACTTCCCAGTAATATTATTGATGAGTACAGACTACAATTTCTGAGACATATATAGTCAACTCTTTTGGGGAAAAAAAAAGGCAAATACAGTATTTCTATGATGTTTTTGTTCTTGAAAACTTAGAGTTAAAGACTTAGTAATCTGCCTATTGCTTGAAAACAGTGTTTGCACAACATCAATCAAATGGTTAAAGAAGGAATGCAAAGTAGAGTATGTTGTTGTTGTTAGGTGCCATTGAGTTGGCTCAGACTCACAGCAACACTGTGTACAACAGAAACACTGCCCAGTCCTGTGCCAGCCTCATAATCCTTGCTATACTTGAGCCCATGATTGCAGCCACTGTGTCAGTCTATCTCATTGAGGGTCTTCCCCTTTTTCACTGACCCTCCACTTTACTAAGCATAATATCCTTCTCCAGGAATGGTCCTTTCTGACATCATCACCAAAGCAGGTGGCATTCCTGCTGCACTTCATGCAGGACAGATTTGTTTATTCTTGTGGCAGTCTATGGTACTTTAAGTATTCTTTGTCAACACCACAACTCAAAAGCATCAACTCTTCTTCAGTGTTCCTTATTCATTGTACAGTTTTCACATGCATATGAAGCAATTGAAAATACCATGGCTTGGGTTAGATATCCTTCTGTCTTCAAAGAGACATCTTTATTCTTCAGCACTTGAAAGAGGTCTTTTGCAGCAGATTTGCCCAGTGCAATATGACATCTAATTTCTTGACTGCTGACTCCACTGGTATTGATTGTGGAATCAAATAATATGAAATCTTTGACAATTTGAATCTTTTCTTCACTTATTTTGATACTGATTATTGGTCCAGTTGTGAGGATTCTCATTTTCTTTATGTTGAGATGTAATCCATATTGAAGACTGTAGTCTTTATCTTCATCATTAAGTCCTTCAAACCATCTTCACTTTCAGCAAGGAAGGTTGTGTCGTCTGCATATCTCAGGTTGTGAATGAGCTTTTCTCCCATCCTGATGCTGCGTTCTTCTTCATATATTCCAGGATCTTGGATTATTTGCTCAACATACAGCATATGGAATAAGCATGGTGAAAGGATAAAACCCTGATGTAAAATCCTGATTTTAAACATGCAGTGTCCCCTTGTTTTGTTCTTATGACAGCCTCTTCCTGGTCTATGCACAGGTTCCTCATGAGCACAGTTAAATGTTTTGGAAGTCCCGTTCTCAATGTTATCCATAATTTGTTATGATCCACAGAGTCGAATGCTTTTGCATAGTCAGTAAAACAAAAGTAAACATCTCTTTGATAGTTTTTGCTTTCAGCTGAGATCCATCTAACATCAGCAATGTTATCCCTCATTCTATCTCCTCTTCTGAATCCAGCTTGCATTTCTGGAAGCTCCTGGTCTATGGGATCGCCTTTCTTTGGAACGGTTCCAGATATGGGTCTCTTCCGGTCAGTTGGCCAGGTAGCTGTCTTCCAAATTTCTTGGCATAGATGAGTAAGTGCCTCCAGTATGGCATCTATGTGTTGAAATATC